TGCCCTCTGGAAATAAGCTATTTTGTTGACATAAATTCAATCTCTAATCACATTTTATGTTTTTTGACTCAGTGAAAGGAAGTGTTTTAACTGTTCTGTTCAAAGAGACTTCTGCTCACTGCATGATAGAATTCTAGATGTGAGAAGAAGTGTTAAGTGTGTCTGATTCAGGACAAGGATCAACAATGTCAGATCACCAGTGCACGTATGTCACTCACTTCACATTGCAGTCAGTTTTTAGTTTGTTTCTAAAAAATGCACTAAAAAGAGAGGCTAGAGACCAATATATCTGTTTAGAGTCTTTCAACTAATGTGATTTAAATAACAAGCATTTATGGGCCTTTCACTATAATTTTCATAATAAGATCTTTACCCTGAACAAGATGAGAGGAAAGAATCACAAATAAAGAAGGATAAGGCATGTTCTTTATTTAGAAAGGCAATCAGACAAGTTGCTGTTCGCATTGAGGAGATGGAGGAGACAAAGAGAGAGATGGAGACATGTGATTGAGGCCTTTTATCCAGGATGACCTGTTAAGAACTATCTTCAAACAAAACAGAAGACAAGATCCTGATCAGAAACAATGCTGAAAGGACAGAGATGTGAAAACTGTAAAATAAAACCAGTTACAAAAACATAGAGCTAGGAGCTTCAGAGCACTAAAGGAGAATGCAAAAAACACTTAAGTGTCATCAGAACTTTATATACTATGAACTTCTGCCTTACAGATCAGCCACCGGTCTTAATTTGTCAGCTTACAGGGCTATCAATACATGTTCTGTCACTTCTACATGAATACTTGCCTGCATAGAGAAGTATGACTGGGAAAATCCTAATTTCAATAGTTTTCCAATGAGATACATACCTAGGGTGGGACAGAGAGAATGTTCCTGGCAACAAATGTTTTCTTGTGAGATATGTTGTTTTCTGTAATTGTCTTCCCAAGAGAGGAATATAAAATATTTCATATAGAAATGATGAAGATCTGGATTTAAGTGGGCTTAAGAGGCTTCCTCTTGCAGCAATGCCACATGACCCAAACATCTTGGGTTCTACAATGCATCCACAGATGTATCCTTTGCAGACCTCTGAGCCATTCAACCTGGAGCTTAGTCCATTCCTGGTTCAAGTTATGTAATTCATACACGCACCTGTGCTACTTGGAGGTGGTAAAGTTTTCACTCCCTCAGAGAGTTTCCTGGTGAATGAAATTTTGACTATGCTTTGCTGAATATTTAATTTTCTAAAGCAGTGTCACTCTGACCTTCCCTTCCATGCTTGTAACTGCTGTAGAGAAAGTATGAAGAAGTGTAATTTCTTAACTACTAGAAGAACATGTCCCCCATCTGAATGTAATACCTCACTTGCTTCTTGTTTAGAGAACACAGAAACTGTAGAATTTCTGGCTACCATTAGCTTTTCCCATTTTCCTGCTTAAATTAGCACATGAAACCAGTAAAAACTTAATCCTTGACTTGAGTTCTACACACGGAGAAGATCTTGAGGGTACGTAAGTGCTGTGACTGTTAGTACAAAATCATTCATTCAATGGTTGATTCAAACCCTGTAAAGTCAAAGCCTGATTTCAATTACACTCATTTAAGACTGAGGCCTAGCGCCAAAGCTCACTAAACTGAAAGTCATTGCCAGGGCTAACAGCACAATTACTGGCTGACTCCAGAAAAAAAGCCAATGACTAAGCTGATATAGAAACTTAACTACTTTATTTCATAGCTGAGTATAGAATAACTCTGTGGGAACACACAGATTTCTGCATCTAGCTTTGGCAATTTTGTCATTACTAACTTTTTAAAGGATGTTCACGAGAACTTATTATTCATGCTTGATAACAAAACTTGAAAACTATTGCAGTTTCCTGATAATGTAATGTTATCATCAGCACACAAAACAGATCAGTCTAGCATACAAGAAGCCCTTATAAACAGAAAGATATGTATCAACTATAGTCAAGAACACAAGAGAACAAGGAAATAACTCCTGAAATAATCTGCCTAGAGTGATGTCCAAGTGTCATTTACTGTGAATAAGAATTTCACCTTTTCTTCTCTGAAGTCAAATCAACAAAAATTATCCTGAGAGAACATACACAGAAATCAAATATATGCAGTAAATCAATCGCCTATTATATTTATTGTTCATGATTTGCACCAGCTTTTTACGTTTCCAGATAAAATGGAGCTTGACTGTAGGGTACCACAGTCACACCATACTCTTTGTACCATTTGGTGTGAGTTCCTTTAGTACATTTAAAAATAGCTGAAACCTGATTTGCCAGTTTCACATCCAACCATAAGAAACCACAGCTGAAACTGTTATCAACAAATTAAATTATGTACGTCTCTGGCAGAAATTAGAGTACAGGTACATACACAAGGCTGGAGTTATTTAAGGTTATATTGCTGCCTGACAAAGGTGTTGAAACTACCTCTAGAATCCAAGAATTAGAAGTGTGTACTTTAGTACGCAGCTCCCATTGTGCACCAACATTAATGCAGTTTGAATGGAAAATTACAGTTGTGGGACAATTTCAGAACTGCTAACCTCCTGCTAGTGGCCATTTTCCAGATGAAAGCAAAGCATAGCTGAATGCAGGTTTTTTCACTGTATCTCCTCGAGAGCAGTAAGATCCAGACTTCTCAAGAGCAGTGTTGTCATCATTTGTGAACTGAGGGCAGTGAGCCGAGTGAGCCCTTCCTCCGTTTCACCAGATGTGCAGAATTATATCTTGATTTAAACAATAAGTGGAGCTAGGGAAAGCTGAGGCAGGCAGCCTCCTACAGAAAGCAGGAGATAGCAGGTGCCAGTAGTTATCAGTCCTCAGCTGAGATAAGAATTCAAGCCATGTGAATACGCTGCTTCCCATTGACTCAACCGTAGCCTAAGCTGCTTGATTGCAGGCATCAGCAGAGCAGTTTTAAGACATGAAGATCCCTGTGCACAGCACAAATGCATCTGGAGATGTGACACCTGCAGTCACAGTGAGCCAAAAACTAGGACTGAGAGCTGTGGCTCAAATGCACAACAGATGCAGAGAAGGTCTTGGGCAACAAACTGAGAAGCAATAACCAAAAAGAAAAGAATCATCAGGGTTCCTTTTCTTTGGATTGGATCTTACAATGTCAGTAAGTCACGTGGAGAGGGGAAATAGGGAATGACTGTACTTTTCTTCTTCTCATAAAGCAGCTAAGGGTTACCAAATAAAGCCAGCATGGGGCACAGAGGAGAGGGCTCTTCCAAGAAAACACTGCTATCTGCAGGCTGCTTTGCTACTAGATGTTAGAGTAGGTGCTGCTTGAACACAGAACAGCCAGGGCTTGGAAGAACCACAAGTGCCCTCAATGCTCATGCAGAAAAAGCTATTAAAAATGTGTGAATTGTAGCACAGACACCAGGAGCTGCACTAAGATCACTTCTAAACTGCCAAACTGCTGTAAGAGGAGAATGCACCTTTTGGTCTTGTTTATTATGTCTCTGAATTGACTTCAAACAAGTACCAGGAGAGAAGCTCTATCTCCTACAATCCAGGCCCTTATGCCACTCAGCATGCATCACCGTCCACTTTATCTAACATGAATGCATAGTTATCAGCAGCTGGGTTATAGCTCATGAAGTGCAAAGCATAGAGAAATCTCTCAACTTCAGAATTGGTATCAACCTCTTTAGTAAAAGTACCCATTATTTAATTCATCAGATAGATACTTCACTTTTGTTTTCTTAAGTCACACAGAGATGCAACAGCAAATATGGAAAGAGTTAACTATAGACAGAAATCAAAGCCTCTACATACCCTATTCTATGTACTTTCCTATTGCTTCCTGTTACATTTTGTGCATTGATAAAATGTATAGATATTGCTGTAATAATCTGAAGCCTCCCTTCTGTCAGGACCTGTTTTCCACTTGTGCAAAGGCAATGAGATGAGCCGTTGCTTCAATATGAATAATTTTGAAAGAGCGGTGGCAGTTCATGTCTGAGCTGGGTAGAAGGAGATAACTATATGACGCAGAACCCAGCACAACTGCATCTGCATATAAATAGGCTTAATCAGAAATGCAAATTGCAATCAGAAGAAATTTTAAAAGCCTACAATAACTGTACAGATAACAAAAGGTCAAACACTTGTATTGCTGAAGGTTTTAAACTGTTATCAGTCAGTGGTGATTCTTTCTTTATGAGCAAAATGTGGAAGAGACAAGTATATGCCATCCTAATCTATGATGGACAATTTCTTTCTATATTTCTTCTATTATTACATCTGTTTTGTTGTTAGACTCTATTTTACGCTGTCAATCTCAACTTATTCAGAAAGACTCAATGAAATGAAAACAAAATGAAACCAAAAACAGACAGCATGAAATAATACATCTAATTTACATGATAGGGGTAATTTCTATCCCTTTTTCATATCACAGAATCATAGAATGGCCTAGGCTGGAAGGGACCTTAGAGATCATTTATCCAGGTATGACAATCCAAATTTTCACATTTTAACATCCTTGGGTATATAAAAAGGCAAATTGTGGCTACAGTTTGCTGAAACTGCCAAACTGCTTCATAGTTTTGTCAAAATTGTACGGCTTTCTTCCACAGTACAATAAGCCTAAGACTCTAGGGGAATAACATATTTGAATGTTATTCAATAGTTATAAATATTGGTTTCTTCCTTTTTTTGAAACAAATGTTTTCATCAACAGTAGCAAGGAAAAGAATATTCAAAGAGAAGTACCTTATTGTTACATGATTTTATATTCTAAGATAAAAATAAATTATGTAAGTCTTTATCATTTCAAAGTCTACTAAATATAAATTATTGCAGAAATCAGGCTGAAAGAAAATTAACATTACAGGTTTTTAATGCCTTTTCCTGTGAGAGATTCTTACGATCTGAAGCACAAACGTTTACCAAATACTTCTTTCTCCTTTGACTAGATTGCCTGTGAACAAACTAGTGAGCGAAGAGAGCCATCTAGTGTCATACCTTGGAATTTTAAAGAGGGTTTTCACCGGATGCATGTCAAATAAAGGAGGGTCTCCATCCCCCAGCTCAATAGCTGTTATTCCCAAGGACCATACGTCACATCGAGCATCATACGAGTAGTCATACTGTTGTTCACAAGCAATGACCTATCAGAAAAAAGCAGATAAAACAACGCTTTAATCTAATGTACAATTCACGCCATCCTAGCATGACACGTCTAAAATCCGACGTAGCTTTCAAATCCGTATTGTAGACTGTATATCCCAGTTACGAAAAACCCTAAAATAACATGAGAGTAGGTTTGTTTCCTTTAAACAACATCTCTCTCCTTTTTTAAATACATTAAGCTCCATGGGATGCTACACAAAGAACATCACCCCGCTAAATTCTGTTTTTGAAAGCCTTCTTACAGAAACCTTTTACAATAGCAGAGAACCCTACTGACGTTATTCTTATTAACTTCCATGACTATTCATGAGGATAGACCAATTTGCACAGCTGTTATTTAGATAAGAATATTCCATCAGTCATTTCTGCCAATTTTTTTTAGTCTGTCTTTATTAGATTCGAGTAGTTTAAAAAAAATTTAAAAAATCTTAATTAACATACCATATACCTTGTCTAACAGAAACTAAAATTAACAGGAATCTCTCCTCAGACATCAGAACTGTTTTACATCACAAACTTGATGCATGTTTCCATCTAACCCACTGTTTGCATTCTAATCATAAGCTGACTATACACATAAGCCAGAAAGAATCTTGCACCTAAACATGAGATTCAAACTAAAGTTTAAATTTACTTTGCAAAGGGATAAGGCAAAAATTGCTGTTTCACTGCCTTTTATTCTGTCATGATTTGATCTCCAGTTAATCTTCCCAAATCTCATCAATTAAACCAACTGCTCTGAAAATCTGTCAGATCCCTGCATATTGCTAGTATTGTCTTTGACGGTTTTTTTCACACTTTTAAGTATTGTTACTAACTTGTACTTAAGGTAAATAGAACTTCTGACAGCATGTCCTAGGGTGGCTGTATCTACGTTCTAGAACAGATATTTTATTTTTCAACTTCTATATTTCTTCTGAGTTCTTGTGTTAGAGCTTCAATTTAGGACAATGCTTTGCAGACAAGCCAGCACACAAGTCAGCAGTCCAGGTAGCTGCCAGCAGAGAGCCACTCACAGCCTGCTGTAAGAAACCCAGTCCTAGAGCAGCTGCTGACACCAGCTTAACCTCTTGGTTACTTTCTCTAGCAACTAACAGTGGCAGTTCCTGCTTCTGGTGGAGACTCCATGCAATGGGCCCGCAGGACCTGTCCATCTGTTTACTCTGGGACTCAGGACTCCATCATACAGCACTCTTCACTTATTTTATCAGAAATCTGGGTGTTGAACACACTAGTTAAAATAATACCAAAATGTGTATGTCTTTTTTTTTTTTTTCCCAGTAAAATTAGACATTAGTTAATTCCTTTGCCATATACTAATAGTTCAGTTCTTTTCTGAGAGCAAATCGGTCCAGAAAAATTAAGTCTTTTCCTGAATTTCCTATTCAGGTTTTGAGAAGGGCTGAGTTCTCTCTCTTCCCTCCCATTTTTTCCAGGTTAATGTGCCATACTGTACCAACAGTGTTATTTTTCCTCTATTGCTGTAATGCCAAAGAATCTTCTGACAGAGTATTAGATCAGTGTTTTTACAGTGGCCTTCTAGTACCTGAAAGGGGCTACAGGAAAGCTGGGGAGGGATCATTTACAAGGGTGTGTAGTGACAGGACGAGGGGCAATGATTTAAAACTAGAGTAGGGTACATTTAGACTGGATCTTAGGAAGAAGTTCTTTACAATGAGGGTGGTGAAACATCGGAACAGGCTGCCCAGAGAGGTGGTGGAGGCTCCAGCCCTGGAGACATTCAAGGTCAGGCTTGATGGGGCTCTGAGCAACCTGATCTAATTAAGGATGTCCCTGTTCACTGCAGCGGGGTTGTACTAGATGATTTTTAAAGGTCTCTTCCAGCCCAAACCATTCTATGATTGTATTGCCTAAGGAATGCTGACGATCTGTAAGATATGATAAAGCAAACAGCAAAATGTCTGCAAATCACCTGAGAAAAAACATGCGTACACATTCCCAAACACATCCACTATCAAATAAAAAGAATAGGGGAAAATGAAAGGAAGCACCGCAAAAGAGACTTCAGGGATTTTTTTCTTCCACCTAAAGAGGCAGAGTTTTGATAGCTAATGTGGTGTTTTTTCAAAGTCGCACAAAGATCATCTTCCCATCTCCCTTCTCTTCAACAGAACGTCTTAAGTGAAAGCTCTGAAATATTTCTTAGTTCTTCAAAGAGTTCATTACAGCCTTGATCTCATCCCAGGGATACCTCTACCTCTTAAAAAAGATGAGGTTTACTGTGCAGTAGGTAGATTCTACACAGCTCAAGCAGAGCGCTTTAAAGCACCACCCTTATTTCAGAGGCCTATATGATAATTTCATTTCCTTATACCACGACTTAGAGAGAAGGGAAGAAATCAAATTTGATGTAAAAACTTGCAAGAATGTCAGTGTGGAGATTCATCAGAAACACTTAAAAAATATATTCTGAAGAGGCTGTATTTGGTGTTGACCAGAGTTTCCTTCATTGCAATGCTGCTCAGAGATTCAAAGGGAAGCTTTTATTTCTTATTTTTGTTTCTTTATGCAGTTCCCCAAATGATCTGCATACTCAAGGACACTTCCTCAAAAATAAAAAAAAATCATGCCAGTCAGCTTCTAGGGCCATGACCCAGAAGTCATGGATAAGCACATTGCTTATCCATATATGACAAATTAAACATACTGGCTTCTTACTCTTTAAACCCATGAAAAATACTTTTCTGCTTGGTTAAAAAGCTGCTAGAACCCATTTCTCCTGGAAGTGACTACCTCATGAGTTGCCTGGTTCTCACCAGTGCTAATTCTTTCAAATACTTGTCCATTTGTTCTCCAACTTTATGATGCAGATGACTGTATTTTCATTTTCAAGGGAAGGAAAAGAAGGACCTGCTCAAGGTCACACTGGACTCTGTCAGCAGTGTCACAAACATGGCTGGTCTCCCACAGTCAAAGACACCACCACTTTTTCCTCTGTAAGCACACCACAGTTGCTTCTAACTACAGGTTACTGGCAGAACTTGCTATGTATCTCAGTCTTCAAAAGTTTAACAAGCTACACTAAAATAATATGAGCATCAGAGGGCTTTGTACTCATAATGCAATGGGAAAAGAAGGTATACTGCAACTGCTGTTTTAAAAAAAAAAAAAAAGTCTTTGAGCTTTTCTCAGCTTCCCCATGTATTACCTACCAAAGAGAAAGGAATCTGTAATGCATCTTCGTATATTTTGTACTCCACAGCTACACATCCAGTAATTGTGGTCCATGGCAGTAAAATGACACTATGGCAAAACACTGTCAGATTCTCCTCTATTCAAATATCGGAGCCTGCAGTGATTCTTTTAGAAAAACATTCCCCTTAATCTGCATTCCTTTTGCTGACAAGAATTCAGCCAGTGGACCGTGCAACCCAGTATGTTTTAAAGAGTTAGCTTGACCACAGTGCAATCAGCCTTACAAGAAAACATACAAAATGAACTGCTCTTCTGGCATCAAGCATGCAGCATGTATGTGTGTTTAATGGTCATTTTAGTTTGAAAAAAGATTTCAGTTTCTGGGGGATTTATCAGAATCTTAACAATTTATGCATCATTTAGAGAAACACAAATGCCACTGATTTTAATTTTCCAAGAAAGAATCAAATTTTAAAGCTCTTGCCTTGGTGAAGGGTGTGCACCACAGTTTGCTTTATACATTGGCTAGTAGACAACACTCTCTGCCTTGAAATCTGCAGAGGAAAGAATTCTCTCGGTAACAGTTTACAATTTAAGTCCTTGGGAATGCCCCTGTCTGTTTTGCCTTGAAAACTACTGCAACTCCCTGCAGAGCAAAAATCCCTAAAAGCCAAATACAAAAAGGAAAAAAAGTCATTGACTTATCTTTTATTATGTTCCCGTCTCTATTGGGAACTCAGAGATACTTATTCTTTTGGAAACATCTGTCCTTTTTGGTCGGGTTTCCAGAGCTGAGAATGCCTCTCAGCACTGCTGATGCCTGCTCTGCCTAGTGTGGCATGAAGACGGAGAGCCTGGAAAGAATTATCTGAAACTGAAGAAAATGTTACTTCCTTTCTCTACCTTGTGCAAAGACATCATCACATCTGTACCTATTTTAGATCAAGCCAAATCCTTCCCTGCTTCTACAAGTTAGAAAAGAAGAGGTATTTGCTTTGCTGCAAACACTATGTGCGTGCCAAAGCTTCAGGGAGAGATGTAGTTAATCTTGAGATTTGTGAGTAAACACCATGGGAACAAGTCTTTCACTTTGGCATGGCTGGTTACGTGCACACGGTGGGCCCAGGTTGCTAAGGAGACAGGCTGTCACCTTTCATATTAGTTGTAATTTCATCATGATTTCCTGCCCAGCCATACAGCCGTAGGATGGAAACACCACAGAGAGAAACAGCCAACACGGTGGTACTTGTCAACACTAATTGTGCTGAGGGTCACGCTGGGACAGGGTGAGGCGAGGGGAATTCACTGGTCTGGCAAAGACAGCACATAAACAAATCAGTGACACTAACTGGAGGGAATTTAGAGAAAACAGAGATCAGGCATTCTGTGTGATTCATCGTTTCTCCAGAAACACAAAACTTCAGAGATACAGTAGATGATTCACAGCCTGACTTTATATTCAAGGATATAATTCTACTTGTTCTGAAATCAACACAAAGATTCCTTGGAACTTCAGCAAGCCCATAAGTAGATCGCTGGTGGATTTAAAAGCAGGAGGAGGCAATACAGACAACGAGCTGCTATTTGTACAGTGGTCACGTTGACTTGTGGGCAGAGGGGAAGCCGTACATATGCTTATCTGAAGCAAAATACATTAAACCCTTTTAAGGTTACCAAGAATTATTAGAAGTGAACTTACTTTAATTTTGCCTCAGTGTATACCTGTGCAGGTACAAAGTACGGCTGCAAGCACACACAAAACAGCAGCAGCACAGACGTGCTACCTCGAGACAATCCCTACGCAGTCAGTGCTGGTGACCCA